TATGTATATGTGTGTATATGTGTATATTATGGCTGAGTTACTACTCAGCCATAAAGAAGGATAAACTCGAGACATTTCTAGGTAAATGGATATAGCTGGAGACCATGCTGTTAAGTGAAATAAATCAGACACACATATAAGTACTGTGTTGTTTCTCTGTGGTGAGAAACCAGAAACCTTATATAAATAAGTACCAAAATATATAATAGATATTGTGAAATAGGAAGAAAATGTTCAAATGGAAAGGAGAACTAGGTAGGGAGAGTGGGGAAGGGGAAAGGGAAGAAGGGAAAGGAAAAATAGAAATAAAACTTTTGTATAAAATGGGAAGAGTTGTTGAAGGGAGGGGTGGGGAAGGGAGTGGGAAAAGGAATCAAGATATATCAGGTACAGTTACAAATTCCCCATGATGAATGTGATCATTATATATACCTAAAATGTACCAATAAACTTCATTAATTAAAAAAATAGAAGAACACTTTTAAAATGAGATGTGACTTCAGCATGTCTTGGGATCCTTCTGGATTTCTGCCTGCTCTTCATTTTGAAATTGATGCTGTTCCCAGTTCTCTTTGGTACCTGAAGGAACAGTAGTGTGAAGGTGATCTGCATAGCAGAAGTGGCCTCCTGCACTGGCATCAGACTCCGTGCCGTGTCCTCATGAGTGACTGTGGGGAGTGAGCTTGCTGAGGGCTCTGTCTGTGTTCTTTCAGGCTCATCAGATTCAGGAGATGTTCCCCCAGGTTCCATACCATCTTGTGCTGCAGGACCTCCAGCTCACACGCTCGGTTGAAATCACAACAGACAACATCCTAGAAGGGCGCATTCAAGTACCTTTTCCTACTCAGGTAAAACTTCTCCTTAACCACAACATCCAACTTCTGGCTTCCTAAACAGTTAATCTTCTAGGGTAACTTTTTGTTTACTTAATAATTGAGTATCTCATGATTTGATAAAGGGTTTCTATAAATTCCCTCACTTACCTAAAATTATAAATGAGAACAGATCCATCCAAGATATGGATAAATGTATATAAATTATTCGGGGACAGAAACCTCAAGCCAGTCTGCCTTTGCCAATCTATGAGCTCATGGTACTGCCATGACAACTTTTTCTGTAAATGGCAAGTAATAAGTAATTGTAGCAATGAAGGCCATTCTTCGTTGCAACCAGAGGAACCATGGAGAGTGTGTACATGAACAAGCAAGTCTGTGGTCCATTAAAACTTTATTTATAAAAATCAGTGGGAGGGGTAAATGTGACCCTGGGGGCTATAGTTTCAGGACCTTTTGCCCTAGAGGTAATGCCATTTGTCTTGATTTGGCCATGAACACTATATGGGATTCTATAGGTGTAGTTCACATCTCTCTGAGGCATAAACTTTTGACTGTCTAAAAAAAGATCAGAAAAATAAAAAATAAAAAAATAAAAAAGATCAGATCGGGCTGGCGAGGTAGCTCAGCAAACTAAGCACCTGCTTAGGCAAGTACAGGGACTCGGGTTCGATCCCCAGCATCACATGTCATGCCAGCTCTGCTCCCAGGTGCGCTGAGCCAGCCTTCAGATCTGGGTGTGATGGTACAAGCCTATAATCCCGGTGCTGGGGAGGCTGAAAATCGGATCACTATGAATCTGAGCTGCATAGTGAGACCCTGTACCAAATGTATTTTTTTAAAAAAATCAGATTACCTATCACATAACTTTTTTGAGGGGTAAATAAATACTGACACAGGCAAACTTTCTTGCAGGACCAAGGCATTTATATATAATCAGGGAATAATTTAGCAAAGAAGTTAGCCAATTTCAGTAGGAAAAAGTACACAGAAATTTATTATTGAAATTACAGTTGAATCTCTTTACAGAGGCAGAGTATAACCTTCGGAGTCAAGTGGGCTGAGGCATTAAAGGTGGTGCTCTAGGTCTTAGCAGTTGGACCAGAGTTTTGGCTGCCTCTATGTATGCCAGTTACCTTATGCAGCCAGAGAGAGTCCCCAGGATGTAAAACACAAAAACTGACCAGCGGTCACTGAGGTGCTAAGACCAGTGGTATTGTGGTAGGATCTCAGGGTGTCTGCAGCGTTGGTCCAGACCTTAAAATAACTAAAGTGAGAATAATCACAGTAGGATGTTAGAAAGGTTAATGAGACAATCTGATCAGTTTTTTTTGGTGCCGTGCACAAAGTTAAATGTTTACTCGGTGTTTTCCATGGTTATCAGTTTTTTTCTGGAATTACTGTTAAGAAAGGGAACTAATATCGACCCAGTTGCTGGTTCTCAAACTTCACCTCAGTCTCTTTTGTCTTGCCTTTAATCTTTATGGCATTTTAATTTTATTGTACTGTAGACTTTTTTAAGTTGCAGGCTGCTTTAGATCATAGCTCCCTTTGTATTCTAGTGTTATTTCAGTCTGAATTACTTTTATTTTTTTCTCAGCGATCAGATAGCGTTAGACCTGCATTGAACAGTCCTATTGAAAGGCCCAGCACTGACCAAGAAGAGGGAGAAAGCTCTACTCAGGTAAGATCAGTGCACTAGAGAGAGGGGATGTGTGTGGTCCCTGGTAGTGAATGGTCTCCTTAGTCCTGACATCTGGGCGCCTTGGACAAGAGTACGAAAGAAGGCCATGTGTTAGGTCTGCCTCAATATTAAAAGTTACAGATCAAGTGGTATCCTTAGTCTGTCCTGTTTTCCCCAACACTCCCAGGCTCTGAAGCTACTCCCTGGATGCTGTCCTTGTGCTCCTTGGGCCAGCTCTGCTACCCTGAACTTGTCTAGAAACACAAGGCAGGGCAGAAAGGTCAGACTCCAGGCTTTGAGGAGACTGGATCCTCTAAAGCTGGATGGGGACAGAGCAGGGCACACTCCCTAGGGAGCTAAGGCGTTGGGTTACTTTCCCATACTTCATTTGTCTGACTCAGGATGTCCAAGTAGTTTGATGTATTTTGCAAAAGATCCTGAACTGGGGTGTGGGGGGGAGGGAGTGTGGCTTTCTTGAGAACCAAGACAGATGCTCACTCTAGGAAGGCAGCCCCTCTGCCTTGTGTGCAGGCAGAGCACCCTCCACTCTGCCCTTTGCTTGAGAGTCTGGGGATGCCCATTCTTGTCCCTCTGCTCCAACTCCCATTTGCTTCCTTCATTAATGGAGGAAAGAAATTACTGGACTTTCAGAACACTTTCTTAGAACAAGAATAAAGGCAAACAACTCTGCCTTTGTGTTTTCCGTTGTGTGGTGTGTGGTGCTTTCTACATGGAGGCTTTCGCCTAACAGTTTCTCTGGCTTTTCTCCTGGTGTGGGCCAGGGCTCTTCTGGGAACAGTGACAGGGAGGCTACTTGTACCTTCTGTGTCTTTTCTTGCAAGTAGGAAACTAAAAGCTAAGTCATTTTCAAATCTGTTACTGGATTGGCTCTTTATGGCCTCTGTCACCTTTCTGGAGGAGGGGTCATTTCACCTCTCCAATGGTCTTTTTGGACAAAGTCAATTTTCAACAACCTGATGCCAGTTTCCTTCAGCAGGAGACCCCTCTGAGTCCCAGAACATTCAGGGTGGCCGCCTATAGATGAGTAGTAAGAGCTTACCTCACCCAGTTTTCTACCCTTTATTTGGGTCTGTGGTAGCCAGGGTTTTTTTCTTCTTGATTTTTCAGGTTGTCTTATGACTGGCTCCTGGGTCTCCCAAGCTCCAGGGTATAGGAGTCAGGCTGTTTGTGTGGCCCTTTTAAAGTCTCCTCTGGGGCCTGGCTGAGCACAGGAAGATGTGAGGGTGGTGAGAGAAGCAGGGACTTTTAAATAAAACCCTGCATCTTGGGTGTGTTGGAGCCTCACGCTGGGTCACAGGCCTGCACTGCCCTGCGGGCCTGTGTTTGGGACTAAAGCAGCATAGGCGTTTGGGCAGCTGCTTCCAGAGCATCCTGTTGCATGAGTAATCATGTACTTTATTATACCTGAGTTTTTTAATCCTTAGCCTTTACCCTTTTTGCCTGTTTAACTCACGGTATAACATTAGTGCAGTCAGATAAGACTTTTAAATTCTTGAGCAATTAGTAGAATTGAACAGAATACAACCTAGCAGTGACCTTTGTTGTCGTACCTTACGAGTGCATTTTGGAGGTGCTCAGATTGTTCATAGTGGCTGTTATGTACCTAGGCCACTCTGTTGAACTTTGCATGTATTAGTAGCACAAGGCCACATCCAGTGAGCCTGTCCTCTTCAAGCTTGAATCTCTGTAGTTATGCCTGTGGGGTCACAAGAAGCTGGTACAGGGGATATCATGTGGGGCATGGACTCTGCTAAGGAAGCGAGCCTGTGTTCACAGTTGTCTCCCTGTGTCCAGACCGAACGTGTGCCCCTGGACCTCAGTCCTCGCCTGGAGGAGAACTTGGACTTCAGTGAGGTGGAAGTGGAATCCTGCGAGGTGGAAGACTTTGAGGCCCGAGGCAGCCGCTTCTCCAAGTCTGCTGATGAGAGACAGCGTATGTTAGTGCAACGTAAGGATGACCTCCTGCAGCAGGCTCGGAAGTAAGTTGATTGTGTGACCTTCATAAACATAAAGTCCACTTCAGAAACTACTGGTTGAGGGCTGGGGAGATAGGGCAGTAGTCCTGAGTTTGATCCCTGGCACCACATACCATGCTAGCCCTGGTACCCCAGGCCTGCCATGCCAATTCCAGAACTGGGCATGGTGGTACACACATGTAATCCTAGCACTAGGGAGTCTGGGACAGGAGGATCACTATGAGAAGTCTGAACTGCATAGTGAGACCCTGTATCAAAAAATAAAATTAAAAAACTACTGATTGAAGGCCATTATCATGCCAGGTCTACTACTCTTTCTAAATAGGTGACACCTGTAATATTCAAATAATGGAACTTAGCAGAAAAAGGGGATACAGATGAATGTCCATTTTGTATCTGTGTATTCAAAGTGGCTAGGATAGATATATAGTTACATTCTCTTAATGAATAGAGGGATTTGTTCTAATAGTGTTTGTAAATAGGATATCATGTCCGCATCTTGTACAGCAATTAACCACTAGGAAGAATGTATGCAATGTGTTAATTATTGAAGCTGTCCTACCAATTTGATTTGAAACTCTCTCATTGCTATTTGTTTCTCAATAAAATTATGAAAAATAAATAAATAGGTGACAGTATTGTAAAACCATTGCATGTCACCCAGCCACTCAGATTTCACACCCTTCTGCTACAAACAGCAAGAGGATCTGGCTGTGCTGAGCTCAGCTGGTCACCTCTGGAGAGTCCAGCCCTGTGGACCTCTGCACCCACACTTGCACAGATAGTGCTTAAGTGTAATATGTTGGCAGCTCTTTATATTAATTGTTCTAATCTCTTTACAGTTCTAAGAAGGAACATTGTTACTCTGTTTGACAACTAAGAAACTGAGCCCTGGGGAAGTTAAAACGAGCCTGGGCCTGGGTCCAGCTAGCATCATTAGCACAAAGTGCTGGTGTGGCACGCAGTGGCATCTGTGTGCTGCATGTCCCCCCATGTTGTGGCTGCTGGGGCATATAAAGCCTCTGTGGATGGACAGGAATTTTTCTTTCAGTCCTTAGCTTGAGGACAAGCCCAGCATTGTGCTTATCTGGGTGGGTCTTCTGCACTATAAGCCTATCTGTGTCTGTGGGCAGGAGTGGGCAAAGGGGAGGGTGCTGAGCCACTGCTTGACAGGTCTCTCCTGGGACCCTGGGCTCCTCTTGTCAAGGAGAAGTCTCTTTTTCTTTCTTTTTTTTTTTTTTTTCCTTCCAGTTGTAGGGACAGAATTCAGAGCCTCTCATGCATGCTAGGCAAGTGCTCTGCACTGAGCCACATCCCAGCCTGTGGGATAGTTGTGTGGGTGTCTTTTTCATGGGATGATCCTGAATGATTGCTTCATGAAGGTGCTCATAAAGGGGGGGAGAAATTTAAAATAAAGCCACATTCTGTACATGTTCCAGAGTGTCTCATCTCTGTCACATGACTCTTTGATTTTTGTAGGCGGTTCTTGAACAAAAGTTCTGAAGACGACACAGCCTCAGAGAGCTTCCTCCCCTCAGAAGGCGCGTCCTCTGACCCTGTGACCCTGCGTCGGAGGATGCTGGCCGCGGCTGCTGAGCGCAGGCTTCAGAAGCAGCAGCGGTCCTAGCACCTGCACATCTCTACAGCTGCTCCTTGAGTCTGCCTGGAAGAGGCTATCTGGGTTCCGCTTGCTGTGGGAAGAAGCAGGCTTGACTGCATTGCTACTGTATAAAGCATGTAGTCTTAATAGTATTTGGACAGCTGAGAAATTTAACCCTCCTTTGTAATAGTTTATATGTGATATTTCTCTTCCCTGTAGAAACACGCACATTTTAACTCTAGGCATGATCTTTTTTGGCATGGACTGGACTTTTTGGGGGTGGGTGATGATCAAGAGGAAGCAGGCAGACACCTGCCCACATAAGGCATCTTTGCCACTTCCTATATAAGTCACAACCCATGTTGGTGTGTCCTTAGCTTCACATCTGGCAGGAAATGTGTGTGCTGGGGAAGATACCTAAAAGCAGTGAGGAGGTATCCAGCATGAGTCTCACTCCATACCATAGGAGGATAGCTGTTGTCAAACTCTGTCCATAGGGAAGGAGCACTGAGAATGTTCCAGAGGCCGGCCCATAGGCTCCTGGACCTCTCAGCCAGTGGAGCATTTTGTAATAAGAACTCCTGGTTTGATACCTGCAGCAGAAGGGGAAAGTCCAGGACTGCAGAATTCTAGGAGGTGACCCCTTTCCTCTGACATTTGGGACTGACCTGAGTCCCTGATTCACAGCTGGCTTTATTTCCATTCACTCTGGTGCTCCTGCATCCCATATGCTTGCCCCAGGCCTCTTTCCTCTCCTGTTTCCTTGCTCCCTCTGGACATTTGAAAGAGCTAAGTAGCAAGCTTTGGTTTATGGTTTTGATTGCTTGGTTAGGTAATTAGGCAATGACAAAGCCTGTAGGTTTGGTGCTTGGGGAAGGTATGGGCCTTGCAAGATGGAAGAGTAAATTCTTGGAAGACATCATTGAAGAGATAAAAGATACGTTTGATATATTTCTTCCCTGGAGTCATTTTCAAGCTTTGTGTCTACTGGTTTAAACATCGGTAAAATGTTGAACCCACATGCCTTGAAGCAGACCCAGGTCATGTATCTTTTCTAATTCTTCATGCATTTAACTTTAAGGATTTGAAATGCAGTTGTAATTACATAATTCAGTTTTCTGTCCCATTGGATTTTTTTTTTCAATGTTTGAAAGCATAGTTTTATGGTAGTCCTCTGGGAAGAATCCAGTATTATCTAAAATTATTGGCAAAGTTAAATGTATTTTACATAACAAAGTTTTTAGAATGTTGACAAGTAATTGAAAAAAGGGTGATAAGTGAATATGTAGGCAGAAATAATTTATTTCAATAAGTCTTTCAAAAGCCTTACCTTGAAATGCTGTTAGTAAATTTGTGATTTTTTAAAAATTTTGTTTTGCTGAGAGCATAGCTATTTGTTTTTATTGTAAAACAATGATAACAATAAAAAGCAAACTCTTCTAGTGTGCTGTGTGTGGCTGGAAGCTAAGGCAGCTTTTTTCAAAGGTGTCAACAGTGAATCCATTTTGCTTTTGTGTCTCATTTTGGTTGGATAATCTTCCTACTTTTGAGGTTTTCTCATATTTTATTTGGATAAAGCAGCACTGAGTTTCTTTTGCCCTGGCATTCCACTTTCTCAAGGTAAGTGGGAGAAAGAAAGCTATTTTACTTTGGTGGATTATGTCATACTTTGCATGTTCTATACAGTCAAGATAACATTCATTCCATGTATTTCTGTGTTTCAGACATGTGAAAAAGAAAATTGCAGTCAGTTTGAAAGGGTCTTGAAACACTGGAAAACAGTAATATAATAGTGATAAAAATAGATATGCCTTCTTACATGGCTTATGGTGGTCCAGGAAAAGAGGTCTCGAGTTGAGATCTTAGACATTTCACCTGGAGAATTAGGGATTTGGGGTCTATAAAGGGCCCCTGGTTTTCGTCCTTCCTGGGAGCATGGAGCAGGTGTGAAAGACAGCAGCCGGCAGGCTTTCATGGGCCCTCTCCCTGCTGGCAGGTGGTGTGGCAGAGGGCTTTGCTCATGCTTATCCCCTTGGAGTAGCAGAGCTACTGGGTTACAACTGATTAGAAGAGTTGTGGCATGTATTCATCAGTAGCAGTTGAATTGCCCATTCTAGGCTCCTTTTTGAACTAATCTGCTTTCTTTTCTTGATTGACCTAGACTTTACCTCTTAGATTCTTGGTTGGTTTTCAGGTTTTTTTTTGTTTTTTTTTTGGAACTGGGGATTGAACTCAGGCCCTAGCGCTTGCCAGGCAGGCACTTATTCTACTGAGCCATCTCCCAGCCCCCAGCCCCCAGTTTTCAGGTTTTAAGACTTGCTCATGCTACAAAGAATGATGGGCCATCTGGATGTTTTGCTGATGTCAATGCGAACTCCAGGCGGTCAGGTGGCTGCCTGCATCTGACCTCCCTCTTGAGCTGTGTAGACATTGTGTTCCTCTGTCTGTAGCTTACAGAGTGAATCTTGTTTGTTGTGACTATGGAAAAGGGATTCCAGAACTCTGGAAGAATAGTACATTTGCAGAAGGTAGTCTTGAGCTTCTAGTGAACTTGTCAAAGAGTAGGGCCTGCCCACACTGGAAGGCCACCTGCCCCTAAGTGTCCCCCTTAGTGCTCCACCTTGCTGTTGGCTGCCCATTAGAACCGCTCGTGGAGTGGGGAAAATATGATATATAGGTTCTGCCTCCATGCTTCTTATTCTAATTAGTCTTTTCCTTGTATCTTTTTCCAGAAAATCCTTCTTAACCTTCCTTTTAAGAGAAGGCAAAGTAGGGGTGTAGCTCAGTGATAGAGCAATTGCCTGGCATCTGTGAGGCCTTAGGTCCCAGCACCAGGAAAAAGAAAAAAAAAAAGACCAAACATTTGTTTAATCTACAAGTGTCATCGGAAAGTTACAAATCCTGCTACAATAGGGCTCATTTTTAGGGAAATTCAGATACCTCATATGTAGAAAGTGTTGGTTTTCTCCAGCCTTCTGTTTTGATGTTGGTTTGTTCTCTGAGGTCAGAGTCAGGAAGTCAAGGTGTGGCCTGGACCGCAAACCTTTCCATCAATATAGAGGACAGGTTGTGTGTACCCTTCTGCCCACAAACTGGGATAGTTTTAAGGGAACTGCTGAGGGAAGCACTGGAAAGAGGTATCCTGGCAGAGGGGGTGTAGTGGTGCATAGGCTGGCTGGGAATGCACTCTCCTTACTCCTAGTTTCTGCGTGAACTTTTTTTTTTTTTTTTTTTTTTTTTTTTTTTTTTTTGTATTTTTAGTACAGGGTCTACAGGGTCTCACCACTTAGGTTGGACTCATAGTGAGTCTCCTGTTTTCAGCCTCCCAAGCACTGGGATTAGAGGCACACTCCACCACCATGCCCAGTCTCAGTCAACGGCTCAGTGTGACCTGGGGGCAGGGCAGGCATGGCATTCCACTGCGCTCTGCCTAAGCAGGTGCTTTAGTCCACTAAGCTATCTGGCTAGCCCTATACTAGTTTCTCAACAGTATGATTCCCTCTACCCCCACAAGATTAACTGACCCATGGCCAGGGAGAGGTTTTGAGCTGATAGTTCCCATCAGTGGGGATATGGGGAGACAATAGCAGACCTTAGCGAGGTGCTCCCGCTTGCTAGCCAGTGGTCAGTACTTGCACGTGGTATACATGTTTCAGTGGCTGCTGTACCCTCTGGGTCCCATCTGGCCATCTGGGGGAGAGAGGCAGTATCAGCACCACAGAGGAAAGGGCACTGGCTTGGTGGCCTAGGCTATGCTGCCCTGTTTCCTGTGTATTTGGCCTATAAAGCCCCACTACACACCCCAGCATCCAGCTGTAGTGGGGTACACAATGCTGAAGGAAACCTGCTGGCTGGCTGGTTTACCAGGTATGAGCTTGCTGTTGGCGTGGCGGTGGATGACGCCCCTTGTGTGCAGGTGCCAGGGCATTTGACCTTCTTGGGACCACATTCTTCCACTTTGGTACAAGCCCTGGTACAAAAAACAGGCATTGGGACTGCCTGGCCTCCCTCCACTTTTCCTTTCCTACTCCTAATTCCCACCAGAAACAAAGTCAGTTAAAGATGAGATACAGCTGGGAGCCATGAGGAAGGGGTTAGCTGTAGTTTTAAAGCTGCCCGATCCTCTTTCCTGGGGCGGGGGATGATGAGCAGCTGCCCGTTGCATACTGCACTAACACCCTGGTGACCTCAGGGAGGGGGACAGAAGGCCCTGTGGGGACAGGCCATACCCACCAGCCTCCCAGTGTGGCCATGTCCCTCCTACCCTTTCCTGTTGGAGCAAAGCCCACCCCAAATAACCATAGCTGGGAGGGTACAGGGTGAAAGACTCAAGAATACAGACAAACATTCTCTTTATTGAGCTACACATGAATTTTCCATTAGAGAAGTAGACTGGCAGTGTGTAAGATATCACAGAAACCTCACCAATTGGGAATAGAAAGGCTTAGAAAGACCCGTGGGCTTTTTTTTTTCTTTTTTTTTCAAGTTTTTTTTTTTTTTTTTTGTATTTTCAATTTTTGTGTGTTTTTTTGCCTCCTCTTTATTTCAAATGGCTGTGACTGGTCTTCTTCAGCAAATAGTCTTAAAAGTGAAACTGTGTAGAGGTCTGGGGTCTGGATACTAGTCAAAGTAGAAATGACAGGACTGGTCATGAAAACTGTGGCTTTAATGTAAACACTACATTCCATCTTTTTTTTTTTTTTGATTTTTTTGTGTTTTTCTTCCATCTTGTATTTAAAAATTGTTTTTGTTATTTTTATCTGCAGCACAAACATCCCCACATGAGAAAGAGCGAACACAGGTCACTGCAACGAAGGAAAGGTAGAGAGGGGCACACACACAAAAGGAGGCATCCGCCTGAAGACGAGTCCGAAATGTCAGGGAAACCCACAACCCCATTTCCCACAGACTAGGAGAGCTGATCTGGTATGAGATGCAAAGTACTGGGGGGCAGGGAAGAAAAAATCACAAAAGAAATCTGTAGAGGGGGTTGGCAGGGACATTGTTTCTGTAGGGCCATAATTCTATGTACGATAGGTTTTTTTTTATTATTTTTATTTTTGGCAGCTACTGGCCAGTGAGAGCTGTGCTTTTTCTATACAAACCTGGAGTGAGAGTGTGGTTGGAGTGGTGGGCTGGGGAGAGCGGGGCTGCCCCCTCTTGTATCCGTGGTGTCTGGGTGCTGGCAGGCAGAGTGGTGGCCTGTGGCCCTCTGGGAAGCCCGGCCCGAGTGTACCTGCCAGTGGGAGCTCCTGCTGCAGATTGGCATTGGGGCACACTGAGATGGGGAGGAGGGGGCAGGGTGCTGATGGATACATTTATTTCAAAAGAAAAATGTGAATGAAATGGCAAGTATTTTTTTTTCCCTGTTTTGAAACTACAAAGCACATGAGAAATGTTTTGTTTTTCCTTTCAAATTCTAAATGTAAAGACTTAACTAAAACTGGATTCTACAGCATTCTACAGAAATACACAGCCGTCAGTCACTCTGGGGTCGTAGGTTAGACAGGGGCTTGATACAGAAAGGCTGTGTGTCTTACAAAGGCCAAAAGATCATGCTACCAGGAGATCAACGTCAACAGCAAAGAGTCCATGAAGCAGTCTGTAGAGAGAGAGATAAGGGGTCCAGTCTGACCATTTTCTTTGATTTTAAAAACCAACCAACCAACCAGAAAACCCTAAGACATCGTAACTAATGTTGGGACAGGGAGAGATAGGGGCGCACTCACAGGGATCAAGAAGTCAAATGCTGCCCATCCTAGGCGCCCTGGGAACCCTTGCCCCAGGGGATGCTGATTAAGGGCAGGTCTGCAAGTCTGCCCTCCTCCAGGCCACTGCTGACCCCGCCTCAGCCCTGCTGTCCCGCGTGCCCTCTTGGAGGGAAGCTGGCTTCAACTCTGCAGGCGGATTGGAGCTGTGGCTCACAGATCCCCTCCCATCAGCTGCTTTTACAAAGCAGGCCAAGTCTCCCAGTTCTCTGATTCTTGCCTTGTTCACATGAATAAAGAAAACTCAGGAGACAGTGGATTGGTCAGAGCAATGATTCTTCTAAATTCTTAAAATTAACAACCACCACCACCCAGAAGAGAAGTGTCCTTAAATGTTGTGTCGGGGGAGGGGAAGGAGACATTTAGGGTGCTGGCTGTTTTTAGAGGGTTTGGAGCTGGCCCGGGGGCAGGACAGAACTGAGCACACACAGCCTCGGTGGTGGGAGGCAGAGGACCAGCTGGGCCAGAGCCAGGCCTTCCTCTGCCTCTCGGGCTCACAGCGGGTTGTGGTAAGACCCTAAAGTCCTGGCAAGGACAGATGCTCAGACTGGGCTCCCCCCATGATGTGTGTCCATCGGTGAAAACCTCGGTGAGTTATGGGATGGTGGTCAGTTCTGTCCGCAGCTCTTCCTAGTACAAACTAAAAAGATTTCTCTAACATATATTTGTGTATATATAAGTTTT